TAACTCGGTTGAGCATTCACGTATTGCCCCGTTGAAGTATAGACTTGTAGCCTACCATTTGACGTCACGCAGCAGGACGTGCCCTAAATTTAATTTAATAAGAGGAGTGACCAGAAATACTAAACAGTATTTACCTTTTTATGAAATGACTTATTTGGTAGTATTGCGGATAAATCTTCAATAACTTCGAAATTTTGTGATTGAGACGACGATATGTTGCCCTGGCTTGTCGATGCAGTTAAATCAAGAAACTCGAACATTTGTGCTTCAATGCTAAATCAAAATAGAATTGAAATAAACAAAGTAGTGTTTTACGAATGATCGGTAATCGTCCATGGGCACTTGCGTTTGAGTTGTTTCAAAAGCGCTGGTTGATTCGAAAACACAGTCTCCAATCGATTCCACAACTCTTTCTCGTCATAGTTTACCTCGACACCTAAACTGTAACTTAAAAACTAGAAACAGCTTTGAACATACAAATTTCTAGAAGTTGCTTCAAAACCTGTTTGTGATTAAACCGTATTTTCCCGGGTGGAGAGTACTTCTAAATTGGTTCATTGGCTTGAAAATTCCCTGACAAACTACCTCAATTGTTAGCAAAAGCTCAAACGCATTCTCGTAGCTGCATCGAAGAGGTTGTCGCAAATAATCGCTGGGGATTGTGTGCACCGGTAGAAGGAATGACAACAAGCAGAGTACATGTTCGTGTAATGGTAGAAGAACTGTCACCATCTTTTGCCACATCTAAAGTCGAAGTAAACACTGTGAGCAACATAATCAATACTTCGATTGAAGGTGCAGAGTCGAGAATCAAAGCATACAATCGATTTCGAATATCATCGTGAAGGGAGAGACGAAGATCAATATCTGCTTTGATTTTACTAAAATAACTAGGTAATCTAAAAACCGTTCCAAAGAATACCAAATTAAAAAGTGGCCTCCTTGGATGTTGATTGGTCGCTTGCTGGTATCTCCATCGTCTCCACGATTTCGCTGAGCACGTGCCGTCTTTCGTTTCATCAAGGAAACAATCGAGCGATCTTCACTTTCTTCTATATTTTCCACGTCTAAAAAGAGGCGCACTGGCATTGTTTTTCAAATAAGACAAAATTTACCGTTAGAATTCGAGTTATCGGGACAAAGCATCGATGTCGATAGTGCTTTTGACTAAATTCAGAAATTAGCAAAGACATTTTGATAATTTAAGGATGATGGAATTGCTGTTAAGCACCTAATTATCTAATATTAAGTTAGTCCTCCAATCTCTAAAGTGCCAAAATTATTAGAAACTAAAAAAAAATTGTTTTTATCACCTTATTTTGTCGGTTTTCTTTTGTAGAGGTAAACAAGGTGCGTCCGGGGTTTCCGATTAAAGCCGGGACTGCTTGATTGGACCTCATTGAGGGCGACCACATCCTCGAACAATCTTCGCGTCTAAAAAAGTACATAAATAAAAACTCATAAAACAAATACACCTTGGCGTAAGTGGAATATCACGTGAAGGTGACATGCTTCTCGGGAATTCACCATCGGGGTCGCGCAAAAGTCGAGCTCGGGTGACAAAGAATGTATCGGTGTTGTCGGGATAGGCGACTCCATTCTTGGTTTGCTCTCAAAAAAGTCAATTTCATTACACGACTTCTTCTAATTATAGCATATTTACCAGCAAACACCTGCTAATTTGCTAGAGAAGTTAAAATAAAAGCGTCCTAGAAAAGATACTACGGTAGAAAGAGCAACAAATAAGTATTCCATAAAATCTATGCACATTCAATGAGCCAAAGTTGTTAAAGACTCTCAAGAGTTATCATCACAAAAAACAAATACAGTCGAACTTCTCTATAACGACCTTCTACAAAACGATTTTGAAATTCTAAAAGATGCCCCTAATTTCTGCGTAGCTGCCCAATTAGGGGCAATCGTTGCCCGCACAGGGCAGCTACGCAGAAAATGTGGGGCGCGTGTTAGGATCGTTATATAGAAATTTTCGGTCCCTTCGATATCGTTATAGAGAAGTTCGACTGTAATGATAAAAGAAACTTTGAGCCAAAATGGTTTCAAAGCACTCGGCCAGGAATCCATCGGTCCAACAATTCGTAACGGTTGCTTAAAATTCCAATCTAACTTCAATGTGCCATTGTTAGCTTGCTAAATTTAAAACTAGAATTGCTTTCAAAATATTATTACCATTATCATTTGACTCAATGGATCGGTCGATTTATCTTTGCACTTTCGTCGCAAATGATATTCAATCTGTTGTGGGTTTTTGGTGGGCAGCAAATGCTTTGAGATTAGTACTGATCTAAAAGTAAATTTTAAAATACAAAAATAACTATACACTTTTTCTGCCCCCGGTTTGATGCCCGAGCTCTGTGCTTCTCGATGTGTCCGAATTGAATAAGCCCTAGTATGAGCAGCAAATTCTCTGAATGAGTGAAAGAAGAGTAAGATGTAGACGTCGGAATTGCATTCATCGCACACTATAGAGAGGATAATCAAAATAAGTAGCTTTAAAATTACTTCAGGTACTAGTTCTGGGTAAAAAATCGCTTCTGAAGTTCTCAAAAGCTCCCATACTTCGGGACGAGGCAAAGACCCTAAAGCACAAAATTTACACACAACCAAATTTGTAAAGCGAACGGGCATGTGTTGGCATCTCGGGTGTGGGCCTCAAAAATATGTGCATGTTTGGATCCCAATTATTTATCTAAACTAACGACTTTCACTAATAAGCAATAAAGTTCGTCAACCTTTGTTGTATTGGTGGCTTCATGGCATGTGGAAATAGCGGCTGGCATATTTTTAATGTTAAACATACCATTTGGATTGTGCTCATAGAACAAGATATCCAATTCGTTCTAAAACTAATTAATAATTAGGAAATTAAAATTATTGAACTCACAATCATAGCTAGGAAGCGACCTCGAAACCCCGCCAATGTGTCATCAAAATTACAAGCAACAACCATTTGCGTCAGAAGTTGTACGTGCTAAATGCATATATGGTTACATAAACAAAAGTTTGATGCCTCTAGAGTAAGTACTATAAATCAGAATAACAAGAACTATCTACTTGTTCAAGTTGAGTCTTCAGCTGTGCTACTTCGCAGTCCCGAAACTTTTTAGGTCCGTTGCCTAACAAACGTGCCGAGTTGCTATCATCAACGAATTGCAAGTCCGGTTCCTAAAAAAGGCAAACTAATTAAAGAGAGATAAAACCACCTTCGCAACGATTATTTCAGTTGATTGCCTAGGTTTGCTCTTGGTGCGTCGTTGCCTTTTTGAGTTAATCTAAAAAATTTTTTTGGAATGTTATCAAAGCCACAAACCTGATTAATTAGCTCTTCGGTCGGCGCCAATCCTGTCAAGAAAAGTTCCGTTTCCTCCACAGTCAGATCAGTCAGAAGCGCCGTTGTTTCACGTTCTAAAGAATCGATCGTTGTGCAAAGAGAGCATTATCGATACTAGTTATTTCGGTCGCACGATCTCGTCGAATCTCTTCCGGCTCTTTTTCAACTTCCTCAAATTCACAAGTGGCCGGCACGAATTCTTCGTCTTCCTCTTCGTCATCGGGTAAAGGCACTAAAGAAAATAAAATTATAACTTACTATTGTTAAAGATACTGACTTGCCGCCGTGTTGATCGATTGACAGAAACCAAGATATTCCGGATCCACATTAGAATAAACCTAATTTACCAAATACTACATGTTGCTAACAAGTTTTCTCACTTCCTGATTAGAGCAAGCAAAAAGTTCCCGTTTCTCTTCTTCCAAAGCATCACTTGTAGCTGTCAGATTGAGATTTGCTTTTGATCTCGTGCTGTACTTCCAAGGTACCCGCTCGCTGATTTCTTCATTCAACATGTCGTCTAACTAAAGTACAGCTTTGATGTGAGTAAACGGTTTGCGCTTTACAAAATTTTGAACTATTATCAAAAAACATATCAAACTAGATCCGTATTTATAATTGCAACTTACATTTAGCTGCATATCAGAATTGCTGTCATATGGTTCAACAATTGCGATTGGATCCGGTTGTCTCGAGGTGGAAGCTTCGACAACCAGCGGATAAAATGGTTCTTTAAGAAGTTCCAACTCTCGTTCTAGCTCTAATTCCAAAGCCGTTTCACTGCCAGAAGTAGACGACGTTTCTGATTCGGAGCTTGATTCATCGGCTACGTCAACTTCATGAAGCGTGGGGTCGCTTTCTGGTTCGTAGTCTCCATCAAAGGCATCTTCTTCCTCATAGTTGACGTTTAGAAAAGTCCGTTGCGCTCGCGAAATTTGAGTGCAAGATTCGTCCGCCTAAAATTTAAGTGTGGATTTTGAAAGACATTTGAGTCAGCCTATAAATTTGATCGAATTTATAAAACATATGCACATGCTAACCTTATCATTTTCATCTATTCATACAGCAAACATAGATACCTTCAATCGACTGGGTCCAGCCTTGGAGCGCGTGATTTTGAGAGTGGGAATCCCTTGGGTATCATGTGACAAGACTTTTGTGATGATTTCCGGGGTGTAAAGGCACTAAAAATTGAATTTAATAAAGTTGGTGCACATACCACAAACCTTTAGCACCGATTTTATGTTTGTCGCGCTCATGTTATATTTTTCTCCCAAGCTCTCAATGTTGTTACAAACATCATCCAATCCGCTTTCATCTAAATTGATTCGTGTTTCGAAGTTTTATCTAGGTATCTAAGTTTAAACATCTAAAACACAAAAGCGTTAAAAATTACCTTCTGGCGCGTCATCCGCACTTGCATTCATAGGACTAAAGATGTTTTGTGCACCTCATATTTTCAATTCATAAGCATAAGTATTGGTTGTATTTCATACAAGGGATAGAGCAAAGACGATATATGAAACTCTTTATCAATTTCGCAAAAACTAAACAAAAAGGAATAACGATAAAACTAAATTCAAACAATAGCAACAACTAAATTCTAAAAGACGGCTAGGTTTTATACAGAGACTAGTTCTATCAATAATCATTTATCCAAACGGAGCCGAATATTCATTTCACTTAACTTCGGTGTATGTGCCTAAAGTGTAAATGAAGACAATCAGTGATGAAAAAACTCACATTCAAAAGTTCAACAAGCCTTTGCGCCATCGCGTTGTTAAATGTGCTCAAACAGGCGAGTCCAAGTATTGTTTCGTTCTTTTGTTCATGGATCGTTCGACGGAATGTGCGCGACTCCGTCCATTCTTGAAACCAGTTAGCGTAATCATCATTTTCTTCCTAAATAAAAAAAAAGCCATTATGACTGCAAAATTTTATTGGATATCACTTTTAAAATAGCTCACTTTAGGTTGGAAGTCTTGTAGAGCGCCATCAGGTAAGCACTTTATCGTAACATATTTTACGGGTTTATCCATCACGTACGAAAGAAAAGGTCCGTCAATAAATATCTAAAATTTGGTTCATTCAAGATATTGAAACAAAAACACTCACATCAGTCATTGGGTCAAGGCGAGAAATGAGATTCTTCTGCAGAATGGATTGTGAATAGGCTATCCATTCATTATTTACGCTATTTGACGTACTTGGAGACTAAATGAAACAAAACATCTACGTTGACATTTTTTCTGACTGCACAATGTGGCAAACGCTAATTTACGTTCTAACTTACTTTCCAAAGATGCAATTTAGACCCAGGATCCCGGCTAATTGTCCGAAGTAGCAGGCCAGCCAAGTCTGCTTGAGATAACGGCCCCTTCTCTAATAAGCGACGATCCAAGTATCTAAAGTTGAAGGAAACGTGATATTTCTTGAAAAACAAAATTTTCCACTGGAAAAAACTCACTTATTTGAATGACGCAACTTTGGCATCCAATAAAGCATTCGTTTCACTTTTCTTGTTGCAAAATTCCACTCTCCAAAAGCATTTACGACAATATCGTGTGTCTCTTTGTCAGGTTGGACACCTCAAGAATATTAAAATTTCCTCCTTTTTATTACTTCGCTTAATTCTACTGTTGTAAGATTCGTTTGAAATTATTCTTAGTTTGAGTAGAATATAATTATTTATTCTAAATAAACTTCTATACAAACATACAAACTTAATACCATGCCATTCCATTTCGTCTAACACTTTCACACAACAATTTTGCTGCAGAGGATAATGAAGAAAAATTTTCTAAATAATATTGAAGCTGAAGACAAAAAAGCCACATTCAACCTGCCATTGGTTCTGCGGAATCAGTTTTCCTTTTGGAAAAATGTTTAACAGTGCCTTGTATGCCTCGAGATCTTTATGTACACCAAAGTCTTTCATGTATTTGAGGGCAGAGTGCAAAAAATCGACATAGCTCCGGGGTTGGCGCTCTTTGAAAATAACTAAATCGAATTCCTTTATTTGTTATGAATTGGTTGAACATACTGAGAGCAGCATAGAAGGCCTCTTTGTTTCGTTCCGACGGTGGGACTGATTCGAACTGTTTTTCAACGTGAACGAGTCCTGTGTGTTGGGCAGAGCTGGCTTCTGTTGAAAGTAATCGAAGTGGCGCGTAAATACCCCGCATTATGGAACGCATTTTCAATCAATTATAGTAACTTCTTTCACTAAATTAAAATAAAAAAGAACTTTACTGAGTCGAGCTCAAAGATTTCAAGACGCACTTTAAATTTTGCCTAGCTTGCTTGCAGGATTACGGTTTAAGATCGAAAGATCCACTCTTTCCCAAAGGAAGAAAACTAGGGGAGCTGGTCAAAACAGCGCCGGCCAAAATAATGCGTTTGCGGTTAAGTTTATTTGTGTTTCTTATTTTCATTGGATGTAAAAAAATTAGCTATCTGCTGAATTTTTGGAGCCTTTTAGAACAAATCTGTGACAAAATGCCAAAAAAAGAAAAAGAGCTTAAATAGAGGTCAACTGCGCTTTTCTCGACACCAATTCTGTTCTAAGTGATCCCAAAGTATGCAAAAGGTCGATAATTTTATTTGGCATCCAATAAGAGTAAGAAACACAGAAACTTAACCGCGGAAGAGCTGTTTCTAGCGTGGCGCTGTTTTGGCCAGTTCCCAAAACTAGAACTATGTTGAATGACTAACGTAATCACTTGTCAGTAACTAGAGTTCACCAAGATACAATTCCATTTAAATCTTCAATAGTTTTAGCAGTAACTATTCTACACTCCACTTGAATTTTAGCCAATAAAAATTTATTCAAAAAATACTAAGGCTGTTTAACAAAAAATGGAAGAGAGTTGAAAACACCAAAAACAAATAACATACAAGTAAACGAAAAATTAAAAATTGCCTTTTTTCCTTTTACGCGTTGACACGCAGGTTCGAAAACCTGGTAGATTTATATACAATTTTGTTCTTGACGTCCTCATCCAAGAAATTGAGTGTGGCTGGATTGACTCCGGCAGCGGCTTCATTCTTCCTGAAATCTAAACAAAGTGAACAGCTAATATGGACAAGTACTTACAAATGTTGAACCACCATACGGCGTCCACGTTCAGCGTAGCGATTGGCAACATAGAGTGGCGTTGGTAGAGAAGTCGGAAGAGCCACAATTTGATGCATGTAGCACAAGCTGTAGGTGAACTCCTCGATGTCATCCATTGACCATTTGCAATCATCACAAAGAATTGTGTACAGTGGAGTCAAGGCGCTACCCTAAATATCAAGTTAATTGAATAGTTTTAACCTTTAACATGCCTGAAGAGCGATGTGAGAGTTCAAGTAGAATTGCTTGAACTTAGGGCTTGTGAGAATCGTGTCGACAACACATCCAGGATCAATGTTCTGCTTGTTGGCTCGGTCACTTGGGTTGATTTCGGCGCGGAAGAGACGGGTGCAATGATCCTTTGTGACGATGATGTAGGTGAGGGCAATTTTATTCTTGGAGTCGGTTGAGTATTTTGACAAGACTTCTTGAATGGCCGGAATTTCATTTTGGATCATCTGAATGCAATCAATGAATGATAATATACGCACAAATCAAAACCTTGTCGTATGCCGTTTCAGGAACTCCTCCTCGGTACAAGACAACACGTTTAGGCAGTGAAGTGGGACGCTTGCGAGCTGCATTTCCGACGCCGCACATTTTCATCCAGTCATCAATGACACGCTGTACCACCAGACCACCAATCAACTAAAACGATACAATAACAAAGACGTTACGATTTCAAAACCTGGTCCGATGCCAATTTTGGGTCCACAAGTTCGAAATCGCCGCAAAAGCCGTCGACGTCCGCAGAAATATTTGCGGCGTATCCAACAACAGTCGGCATCGGCTGTTCTCCCTCAAGTCGGACTCCTGGAGGCGCAATTGTTGCCCCCAATCCAATCACCAACGTTTCGCCTTTCTGGAGAAGAGTGTTGCCATTGCTAAATTTGAGTCTACTTAAATCTTAAATAAGGAGGCCAACATTTTGATTGAATAGTTGATGCCACCAAGCTTGACGTTCATCTTGTTGCATAAATTTTCCACCGTAGCTGGCTTGCCCTTCTCGAGCACTTCACGTGCCGTTCGCAGTTTGATGTTTTGGGTAACGATTTGATACTTGCGCTCAAAGCTCTTGATCTCATCTAAATCTTTTATAAAAATAAACCAAAAACACAATACAAACCTTGAATTGTTAAGCTGTCATCGGTGACCATAAGTGCGAAGTCGACCTTATTTTGTGCCATCGTCTGGAACATTTCTTCAAGTCTTTCAAAGTTCACCACCTAAAAGTAACAAGTTTTAGCCAACAACGCTATCTACTAACTTCGCATGCAACCGGAGCTTCCAGTTGAACACCGCGTCTTATTGCTTCGTTGTAAAGTCGTTCGGCCAGTGGTTTATAGTGCTTGATATCTTGGGGTTGTCGGACAATGAGAAGAAAAGCCCAAACATCACATTTTCCGGGTATCAGATATTGTGCTCCTCGCTCGATCTTCCAAGTGACTAAATTTGCATAACTTGCAGATAAGGACTGAATAAACTTACATCGCTCCATGTCGATATTAGCTGTATGTCCATTGTTGTAGCGAATGACAGGTGGTGCGAGTTGGCGAGCATTCACTTTCATCGGGTTTGTGACCACGCGGAAACCGCCATGCTTGGTTTCGAAGATCTCGTTTGCCTCGGCATTGTTCATAATGAGTGTTTGTCGGCGAATTGGTGGCACGGCACATTCCTAAAAAACAAAACTATTCTTCTCAATGATTTTGCAATACTTTGGTCGTCTCTTTCATTTGTTCAGCAGTTTGTTGTGCAAAGCCGACACGTTGGTCAGGAAGCACTGTACAGACTTCCATTGGGAAGAACGTTTCCTTCTTTGCCTGGACACAGATCAATGGAGCTAATGGTGCTCTAAAATAAACGTGTTACTGTAAAAAAAATGAAAAAAATTGTATCAATTGTTGTGAAAAAGGAAACGTACTGCAAGCATAGATTATACTTCTCCTGATAGTAGTCGCGAACGGAGATCTTCTTGTCGGGCAGGGTAATCACATGTGACGAATCGAAGGCAACTTTGATGATCTTGTAAGCCTTCTTGGACCTTCCGTGAGTGGTTGTTACCATAAGACCTGCGGACAAGAAACAAGTTAGAAAACAAAAATGATTCCCCACCTCTTAGAACAATGTTGAGGCGTTCAATCTGGACAGAGTTACATGAGCGCTGGAAATTGAATCCGGTCAATATGTTGACGGCTTTTTCTGGCATTGGAATCGGCTTGTGGAAGGCGGCTTTTTTTGCATCGATTGCCACGGAGATGTTGGCGCGATCCCGTCCTTTCGGTCCCTCAACGAGTTGCACAGAATATTTTGCACCAACTTTCAGCTCCTTTCCATCAGGCAACTAAATACAAAGATAACTTGCTTGAGATAAGTTAAAAAACAAGCCTTCTTCGTCTCCATTGGATCAACGCCAAACACTTGAGCATTCTTCATGTAGACCTTACCCTTCTCAAAAACCAGAAACGATTGCCTAAAGGTCTTTGCGAAAAGAATATGATATAATTAGCCCACGGATTAGCAAGAGCATGTTGAACTAATCCAATTTGAAGAAATTGAAAAATTGTTCGATCCTTGTCCATTGCAACGAGAGAGTTGTCCATTTCCTTGTAAACATTGAGCGGCATTTCATAGTTTTCAGCGGTGGGTTTGATCTGGACCTCGATGAGATGAAGTCCTTCAAGAGGGCCAACAGCTTGCGCAGGCGTGAGTTTTATTAGGCACCGAAACATCGCACCCTAAAACAGAAAGTTATCTGGTGACAAAGATGATCCCAAAACTTACAGTATACTTCAGGCGCTCCACCGAGAACAAGATGCTTTGTCGATCATAGAAGACAACAACAGGGGAAGCCAATTCGTCAGCATATTGGTCGAACAACATCTCAAAGACTTTCCCGGCCATGGCCTTGCGCTCAGACGAGTAGTGACTAAAAGGATGGATGGAAGGCTAATTGATAAACATGGCATACTCGTTAGCGGTCTTCTTTGCGATCTCAATTGGAACAACAGTTGGATCCGAGAAATCCTCCACTGGGCGCGAAGTTGCAAAGATTGAGACGTCGTAACTGAAGCAAAACAGTTAAATCACCAAAAGACACGAATTTTAGCGCGTAACCCGTAACAAGGAACACCAACCGATAAATCTTCTGCTCCTGATTGATGACGATACCGAAGATGTTGCTTTGCAGTTCAACGGGGCGTCCAGCTTTTCCTGGCTCAATTGGTGTCGGATGAGGGTTGCTGACTCCACTTCCGTTCTTCCCATTGCCGTTTCCGTTGCCATTGTAGTTGAAGCCGGTTTTGTCAAGCCAAACAAAAAAATATTAGAATTAATGGAGACGTTACCTTATAAAGGTCAATTGGCGGCGCCATTTTCTCCAAATTTCAAGTAGTTGATGCTTTTGAAAGCTAAAATAAAAAATAGTTTACTGGATAAACTGAAAGCAATCAAATATGGAAGTCTGAAAGTACCAAAAGCTAGGCAGGTAGGTAGGTAAGGTTGCGTTTTTTCGATGCTAAATTGGCCTAAATTTTCCTACAAGTTGGAAAGGGTCAAAATTTGTGGACACAATGGAAAATGAAAACTGACATTTTTTGAAAGCCAAGACACAAGTTACTGACGAAGTGGGCGGGACTTCCAAAATGCCAAAGGCAACGTAAACCCCGCCCCCTCAGCTGAAGGCCTTTATAAACACAACGTAAGCCCCGCCCCCTTAGCCGAAGGCCTTTATAACCAGCGATTTTTCAGACAAGTCTCCGTTGTCCATTTTACGATGGCTCGAACAAAGCAAACTTCACGCAAAACGTCTGCCGGCAAAGGAGGCAAGCAAGCGGTTACCGGCAAGCAGGCACGTTCCCATCCCCAAGTCGCGACGAAGGCCGCCCGGAAGGGGGCAGACAATCCGGCTGGAGGGGTGAAGAAACCACATCGCTACCGACCCGGCACAGTGGCTCTACGCGAAATCCGAAAGTACCAGAAGTCGACCGAATTGCTGATGCGTCGTGCTCCATTCCAACGTCTTGTTAAAGAAATTTCGCAGGACTACAAGACTGACCTTCGCTACCAATCCTCTGCGCTGATGGCCCTTCAAGAAGCCGCTGAAGCGTACCTCGTCGGTCTCTTCGAAGACACCAATCTGTGTGCAATTCATGCCAAGCGAGTTACGATCATGCCGAAAGACATTCAACTTGCCCGACGAATTCGGGGTGAACGAGCCTAATGGTGTGATAGACCGCTAAAAATAGAACCCCCAACCCAACGGCCCTCTTTAGGGCCACAAATCGTTTGGGTAGGTAGAAATTGTCTTGATCAAACTTATTTTGACAAAGGAACTGTCTGTTCCACTCAAATCTTGTTTCATTTCCATGGCCTGCCGTGTGGTTTCTCCCCCAACACCTAATTCTTGTCCCATTCATTAGAGTCACAAATTGGTTCTCTGCAAGCCTAATCTACTAATGTGGTGTAGGCCTTCTTTGCATCCTCTTCCCTTTTTTATCTTTCTGGGCCATGCGGTCTTCCCCCACTTTCTCTATGTTCTCCTCTTCACGCATGCTCTCTTCTTCTCACATGAATTGATTACGCTTGCCTCGGTCGCAACTTTACCCGTCTTATTTTTCGCCCAGACCAAATCATGACCGTTTTTCGTAGTTTTAAAATTTTCGCTTGCTCAACTTCGAATTTCAATGGTATGGCTTCGAAAGAGACATATATGTTAACAAGAAGTACCCAAAAACTATCGCAAAGTTTTCCATCGTATCCAACTTTTTTGGGCCATTAGCCACCTAGAATTCTCTTTTTCAAAAATTCATTTTGATGTCCTATTCGCTCGTCATAGTGCAATTTGATATGAGCGCGAACTCTTGCAAGGCAAAACATGAAACAAACATTCACTCCTTTCTTTAGCGCTATTTTCATCTTCACTTCTCTCGCAATCGATACGCGCTTAGAAGATTTCCCCTTTTTTGTGTCCCTCTTCACAACCAAAGGTCCCTAATGGAATGGGATTTCCGCAATTCTTCACGCTTGTCCGACTCCATTAGCAACTAACTTTTTGTTATATTGGCATTGATTTTTTACTGGTCTAGTTTCTAGATTTCATAGATTCTAAGTTCCTTTTTTCAGATGAGCACTCCGTCGGAAGGAACGGAGATACGACAACGAAGCCTAGCAGATGAGTTGAATATCAAGTCGAAAAAGCAGACTAATGGTGGGTCTTTCTCTTATGGTTTTTGTACATCTTGAAGTTAGAAGATAGATTTTTGCTTCAAATTATAATGTTGCATTGTTAAATTGTATCTATTTTTAGCCGATCTTCGAGCCACATCCGATGAAAGTGATTTGGATCAATTTTTCAAAGACGAGGACGGGTAGGTTGTCCATTTTCTTTGTGGTTACAGCTTAATGCTTAATCTCTATTTTTTCTAGCGACGCTCAAGTAACTAAAAATGGTGCCGGGTTAGTTTAAATTCGTCGTTGAGAAAATTAAGAATTTTGGTTTTCGTTTCACAGAATCTCTTGTTTTCACGAAAAGCACTACTCATTTCGAATCAAAACTCTAAAGTTGTTGTCATGTGTAGAGGGCATGGTGTGTTGACAATGTGGTCATTTAGTTATCTATTTTTGGTTGTATTTATTTCATTACTTTTATTTAGAATTGGTGAGCGCACAAAGATGTTACCACAAGGAAGTGATCACATGGGATCCTTGATCGACCCTCTACTACAACATTTAGACCCAAGGTAAGATGGTTTCTACGAGTTATTGAAAGGAAAATATTGATCGCGCCATGGATTTGATTTGATTGTTTTAGATGGCGAAACTGGGTTGTTCGAGGAGTGTTCACCATTGTCATGATCTCGCTTTTCACTTTAATCGTTAGTAGAGGACCAACGTGGCTAATGTTTCTGGTTTGTTACCGTTTATGAATTTAAAAAAATGGACCAACATCCAGGTACTGGGTATTCAATTTAAATGTTTCCACGAGATCATTTCGATCGGGCTTGCTGTGTATCGACTTTATGATTTCCCAATGTTTAGGACGCTTTCATGGTTGGTTTGATCGTTTTTAAAATCTTCATCCTCTTTAGGTGGTTTCTCATTTCATCGAATTACTTTTTCTTCGGCGAGTCATTGATCGAATATTTCAGCATATTATTACGGCGAGATGTAACTTTTGAATAAATTACACGAACTAATTAAACTTTAGAATTTCCTACACTTTCTGGTTGTGCCAACGTATCATCGATTGATTAGCTTCATGTTTTATTGTGGTGGATTCGTATGGTTTGTGTTGACTCTTCAGAAAGGCTATTACATGCGTCAATTCAGCTTGGTAAGCTTAGGTTTTTTGTTCTTCAAGTTTTTCTCTTTCAAAAACAAAAACTTATTTTTAGTTTGCTTGGACACATGTTTGTTTGCTACTCGTTGTCTCGCAGTCGTTTTTGATTATTCAAAACATTTTCCAAGGAATTATATGGTATTTTTAAAAAAGAGATTTATAACTGTTTTTTAGGTTTTTGGTTCCGGTGGCGTTGGTTATTTGCTGTGATGTAATGTCATACATGTTCGGCTTCTTTTGGGGAAAGACGCCATTGATCAAGGTAGATCGATGTTTTTTGTCTTTGAAAAATTGCTTTTAGTTGAGTCCGAAGAAGACATGGGAAGGCTTTATTGGCGGAGCTATCAGCACAATCATCTTTGGCCTGCTTGTAAGATGCGCATTTATACTTAACCAAAATCTCCGTTTAGCTCTCATACGCTATGCTCCACTCTCCATTTATGGTTTGCCCTGTCGGTGAATACACAGAGGAGAGCTCCAATTGCACGGTGAGTTAAAATATAATTTTCTTTCTGACTACCTTATTGATCTTCTAGATTCCTCCTCCGTTCCAATTGTATGAAGCCGAACTTCCAAGACCACTTCCATGGCTGATGAGGCTTCTACGGTAAGTTTTTTTTAATTTTAATCAGTTTATTATCATTTGAGGCGGCCAACAACATTTGAATACTATCCGTTTTTGTTCCACTCAATATGGATGTCCTTGTTCGCTTCTCTGTTGGGTCCATTCGGAGGATTCTTCGCTTCCGGTTTCAAGAGGGCTTTCAAGATCAAGGTAATTTCTAATACTTCGCGATTATAACTTCAACCATTTTAAGGACTTTGGAGATGTGATCCCTGGTCATGGTGGATTGATGGACCGGTTTGATTGTCAACTATTGATGGGAACTTTTGTCAATGTCTACATTCACACATTTATTCGGTAACTTTTAAACTTGTTTCCATTTCTAAATTAATTTTCAGAGTGCCCAATCCAGGAAAGTTGCTGCAGCACATTTTCTTGCTTCCAAGCGAGGATCAGCTAAGCATCTACCACGCCCTGCAGCAAAGGCTACAGTCTGCCGAACTTTTATAACTTTCGATTGTTTTTTTTTTCTAAATCATCTTAAGCGTTTGTTCAAGCTAGTCTTTTTAGATAAATTTTGAAAACAATTCTATTGTAAGCCCATTGAGCTTGATTTCTTTTTTACCCTTTTTTTATAACACTTGTTTCTATCGAATCTGCTCTATTAACAATGGTCTCATTTAGTGTGTGGTTAGTCAAAAATTGAGTAATTCTTCCATCTTTTTTCTCTTATGATGAAGTTCATCGTTTTTCTTTGTTTTGTTAAGTGTACATAACTGTAACAAAATTTTGGAGTTGAAATATAAATTTTCTATGAGATCTTGTTCGCAAATGGCAAAAATATGGAAAGATTGAGGGCATCGTCCAGTTTTTGTGTGGTAGAAGCTACTTAGATCTTACTTCAAGATTTATCTTGTGTCGTGATGATATCAAAAAAATTTCCCAAATTATGGATTTTTGTTTAGACGACCCTGATCAATTAGGCCGAAAATGGACGAACTGGTGGCTTATAAAGAACAGGTAATATTAGTGATCGATTAAGCTTAATAAACAGCTTTTATATCTCATAGCTAGTGTCAAAACAATACGATTTTATGAATTTAGTTAGCGACTCTTCGTGCCACATTGGAGTCACTTGGTGATGGTGATGACGCGATACGACAAGAGCTTGAAACGGTAAAAGATTACCGAAAACATTTATTAGTTATAACTTTTTAGACTGCGATCGATCTCGAGGAGTTGATCGCGCTGATGGAATCAGAAGGAATAAGCGAAACACAAGAGGCTGAAGATGCGGCAGTGTCCGGATTTTTCGAAGAGCTCCTCGGGCAGCGCTGTTTGGCTCCGTTTTCAAAGTAAGTAAGCTATATAAAGTTTTTTTTTCCCGTCATTGAGGAGAATTTAGACTTTCAATGATACTTTTGTTGTCGAACAAGAAAAGTACCCCCAAGTCTTGTCCTAAATGTTAGTAGTACTTTCACTATTTATCTTTTCTTTTTAGGAATTTGCAAATATCCCTCCATGCGGCGATAATTTTCGAATGTGATCCGCCGAAAGAGGGAGACGATGATTTCATTGTATGTTTTCAATCAGTAAATATTTAGAAGAATTATCGTGTTCAGGTACGAGTGCTTTACTCTCATCCCCCTAACTTCAGCTATGAAACCGTGTAAAAATTTTCTAAAAGGTTAGCCATTTTTAAGTAGAGTTCTACAATTGGTTTTAGGGCACTGCAATTTCGGAAAATCTTGTCGCTTTTCACACGGAGAACCGGTATTATTTGGCGCTTTAGAAGAGTACGAGGATCCTGATTTTAGGTTTTCTCTATAAATTATTTGATGTTTTAATTTATATTTTAGTGGAGTTCAAGTGGACAGTCTCATTCTTGCGAGCAACGATGATTTATGGGAGGTTGCCCGAATTGTGGATATCGACAGGAAACATTCGTGAGTTTACACTTTAGTAGATTACAAATTAGATTTATTGTATTTAAGAGCAATTTTGTTTTCCAGGGAAATGGCTGTGAAGATTTTGCAAACGGGCAAAGATGTTCGTGTACTTTTCTCACAGGCAGTACCGCTTCATCCATCGGAAGTCAATACAGGTTAGTATTTTGCTGGGCAAAATCGAATAAATTTATATGTTGATCGTTTTAATAGTGCTTAAAATTACATTTAAATCAATTGAAATTTAAATTGTTAAATTTACGTTTAGTTTCATCGGATGAATCGCACGCAATCGAGCCTCCTTCCGGTGATTTCGATGGGTCTAATCAATACACGGAATTAAAGGTTGAAACTTTGATACTTTGTACTTCCGAGTACTGGGTATTAAACATTAACCGACTGTCAACATCATTTTAGGCTCAAAAATATGGCAACGTCAGTGTGGGTGAGCTCGGTGATTGGCACGGCGGAGGATTTGGATTGAAATTAATGCAAAAGATGGGCTATAAGTGAGTTCTTTTACTTTTTCTATATTTTTGTTGTATCTAAATCATCTAATGTTATTAATATTTAGATTGGGTGAAGGCCTTGGAAAGAAAAACGATGGCATTGTGCACGCGATTCAAGCGGCCGTTCTACCAAAACGTAAGCTTTATAAAGATGTTGGACTCAAAAACTAATTTAGATAAATCGCTTGACTATGTGATGGAGAATAAAAAGAAAATTCGGAAAATCGACGGGAAAACTGCAATGAAAGAGAGGATATCGAAGCAACAACAAAATGTTTCGTGGGTTTTGTTGTATGATTGATTATAAGTTGGTTGTAAATAAATGATTTTTAGCGGAATTGAGGCCGACATTTTTGCGTTCATCAATCGACAATTCGAGACACTGAGAAACGAGGAGAAAGATGACGGGAAAATAATGGCGGTGAATTTTTACTTGATCATGGATAACTTTGACAGGCTTTTATAATTTTCAATTTTTAGAAAGAACGGCAGCAATTGAGCGAGGCTTCCGAGAAATCACTAGTGGCAACCGTGTTCGACAACGAAAAGAAAATCAAGGAGCTCCGATCGAAGAGAGCCAAACTTGAACAGGTCTTTTCTTATCTTATCTTTTCAAATTTTCATTTTTTTCAGGGTTTGATACGAAACAAGGGTGATAAAAAGACGTCGGAAAGACTGCAAACAGCTTTGGATCAGGTAAAAGATATTGATGATTAACTATTAAATAAAGTTCTATATTTAAAAAATTCAACCGTTTAGTTTTTCATTTAGGTATGTCGTGAGATACAAAAAGCCGAGGGCCAACAAACACGGGTGCAAAGCGAGCGGGATGCTCGACAAAGGAAGAAAGATTTATTCTAGGCATTTTGATTGTATTTTCGTATGTTTTTGTGCTTTTTTTAATTTATTTGGAGGTGGTCATAATAAAGAAAGAAGTCGAGACAATTTTTGCAAAAATGGTATGAATTTTAGACAGCTCTGGCACTTTGAGCACCCTTAAAATTGTACTTGTAAGCTGGCGGAAAGACTCAAATCAGTTTTGAACTCGGCAACGATTCTCAACTCAACTCTAGTGTCTAGTCTCGATTTGCCATGAAAAATCTTGCATCATTTCCCTCAAATCGGATGAAAAATAAAAATCACAATAAAGACGGGCGCCTATGGGGGGGAGAAAGGCGTGAAAAGGTGAGGAAATTCGATGAACAAACAGAATGGGCAAAAGAGATCTCAATTGCTTTTTATGAAAGGGTCAGGGTTGCTGTGACCAATTCATTTTTGAGGATGAGTAACCTTTGGCCAAAAAAAACAAGACTGAGAAAGAGGGAAAGGATTATATTCCAATTGCACCCAATGAAAACAACAAATAGATGATTGGGCGGAAGACTCTTCGCCCGCCTTGAAACCGTCCCTAGAAAAATGGAGGAAATGAGGGCCTGTGAGGACAATCATCAAGCATTATTGCAACAGGAGCTCGATTCGCTGCTTGCCGCGCTGTCAGGTGGGTTTGAATCGATAATCATTCCAAGAATGGGGGAGTGGGACAAATGCGACCTTTTTTTTGCGCACCTGGACATTTGCGCACCTTTTTTTTGCTAGAAAAGGCCTTAGGAAAGGTCGTAGAGCTTCAAAAAAGTTTTCATAGAAGGGAATCGTATGCGTAGATTCCGAATTTCGACAAATCAGATTTCGCTGATTTCGCTGAAATTTAGACTAAAAGGCAAAAACTACGCAACTTAACGCTTTTCCGCAGTTTTTGCCCTTTAGCCCAAATTTGACGTGTCAGCGAGGTCTGATTTGTCGAAATTCGGAATCTACGCATACGATTCCCTTATATGGAAGTATTTTCGAAATATTTTCGAAGCTCTACGGCCTTGCCTAAGGCCTTTTCCAGCAAAAAAAGGTGCGCAAATGTCCAGGTGCGCAAAAAAAAGGTCGCATTTGTCCCACCCCCCAAGAATGGCATGCCCATAGACATTTTCTTAAACGTATCACTTTTTTCAAAAAACTATCGTAACCTTGTATCGAAACTGTCTACTTTTAGCTTGATTCTTTGAGGGTAAACGATCGATTTTCCAATCGGACCCTAATAGTAAGCTAGATAATGTCATAAACTAGATCCAGATCTGGCTTAGATAATGTCATAAACCAGATCCAGATCGACGGGTTCAAGTGTTGTGAGTCAGGCAAATCCAGTCCTGACTTGGTTCTGTCGTGATTTGAGCCAGAAAAATCACTCTCGGAATAACGCTGACCAAAATGATCCAAAAAGTAGATGGGTTTGGGGGAAAATGGAGGCAAGTTTACTCTAGTTTTCGAGAAGAAAAAAAAACACTCTAGCTCTAGATCCACACATGGAAAATGAAAATGCTTCGATATATTCTCATTGTTAGATATGGGCCGATCACTTCTACCCGATGAACGCCTTCGACGAGCCGTTCACCTCAAGAATCGTTTAATCGTCAATCTGCTCGGAGAGTTCTTCGGCACTTTTGTCTTCATCGTAAAACCGGCTTTTTAAAGAAAGAAACAGGAAATTTTTAGTTCATCGGTCTCTGTGTCTCGATGCAGTATGTATTGGGAAGACAGGTACAAAAAACTCTAACACCAGAAAAGAGTGACCCGTTCAGGCATTGAGCACCTTCATTCAAGTGAACTTCGGCTGGGGATTAGCGCTGGGATTTTGCGTCTATCTACTCACCGGGAGCTCAGGTTGCTGAAGAAAGCTTGCTTTGACTAGCGATTGAAGATCTAAAGATGAATTCGTTTAAACCACTTCAGGCGGTCACCTCAATCCAGCGGTTTCCTTCTGTTTCTTCACGCTCGGTCGTCTCCCTTTTCATCATCTCGTTCTCTACACTGTTGTCCAAACGATTGGCGCTTTTCTCTCAGCTTTTTGTGCCTATTTCTACTATTTTGGTCAGTTTTTGGAGAAATTTAGATGCTTGCTCCAACTTTTTAGTTAGAGTATTCATTGTTAGGCTTTTTAGTTAGCTAAATGATACCACTGCTTGGATTAAAAGGCAACTATACAACAAAAGAGCTTCACTCTCTACCATAAATACTCTAATAGAACGCTACCTCCTCGTACAGTCGTGTAGTCTAACTAATTTAATTTTTAATTTTTAGAAAATCCATTTTTTTTCTCAGCTCCTAGATTTTTCCCAACTACACTTTTGGTATAAAATACTAGACTACAAGGGCTATCATTTGACACTCAAGTGCACACTGTAGCATAAAGCAGCGCGGAGGATGGCACGTTCAAAGTTAGACTACGCGATTGTACGCCTGTCATTATGGGAATGGCGTTCTATTGTATTTGTGGTAGTTATCGACTCAAATCTTTAGACCAATTCGAGAAATTCGCGGGCGGTGAACGCTCGGTGACAGGTCCATTTGCCACAGCCGGTGCTTTCACATCGTTCCCCGATGCTCACGTCTCTCATGTCACGTGTTTCGTTGATCAAGTGAGAAAAATGAAAAGTTCTTGTCATTGGTCCAGTAATGACACAAGCTTTACTCTTTATCTTTAAGATCTCTAAGATCTGATCTCTAAGATCTGATCTCTAAGAACTGATCTCTAAGATCTGATCTCTAATTGCAAGTTGAGTTGAGTAAAGCTACAATAAATCAATACCATAAAACAATAAATCAATAATTAAATAAATCAATAAAACAATAAATCAATAAATTAATAAAACAATCAATGCTCGCTTAAATCTCTTTCAGATTGTTGGAACCGCGTGTCTAACATTTTTCATCACCGTTTTTACCGATAAGAGAAATAAGGTGAAGCAAGAAATTCATTCTCAAACGAAAACTTTGATTTTTCAGATTCCGAGTGGAATCGTCGCCTTATTGGTGGGGTTGACGCTCTTTTTGATAGGTCGGTTTGGTAGGAAGAGCTTTCAAGAATAGATTGAATCAAAAAATCTCCAAATCCGGAAACTTTCCAGTTGTATTTATTCAGGAATACCCAGAAAGTACAAAATCGAATAACCTCAAAATGCTTAGGTTGTGCTTTTTGCCCTGAATCTTGGCTATCCGATCAATCCGGCCAGGGATTTCGGTCCTCGTCTGTTCGCGTGTCTCGTCTACGGACGCGAAGTTTTCTCGTTTGTTTCAGAGATAAAATTTATGCTTCTATCCCAGAATCGAGTCTTTTAGCTCTATCGTCAAATTTTAGCGATTTATTCAAATAGAAGCGCATTCGCTTCTATCAGCGACCCCTTAAGCCCCGCCCACTCATGTTAGGAGAAAAAGTTGCACGAAAAATTCAATTTTTAATCTATGACAATTTTTAATCCTCTAATGATGCTTCTATTAGAATAAATACGGCAATTCAAATTCCAAGATGTCAATAAAATGATTCGCGCTTGCGATTCGTTTTGATCTAAAGAATTGAAGGATTCGATTTGTTTCAAGGGATTCGAGTTTTTAACACGTTGACGACATTGTCACCTGATGCTGTCTGACACATATTCGTTCGCCTGGGACATTGTCACCTGATGTCAGGTGACATTTTTTGTCGAAAAAAAACAACGTTGTCCCATGCGATTGTTTGTGCAAAAACGCCATTGTCGTCAACGTGTTAAAAAGACCCAAGTCTGAGATAAATATAATATTAGTGCAAAGTTAAAAGAGTTGTGATTGAGTGATTGGCTATTTCAGATACAGCTCGTATTACTTCTGGATCCCGATGGTGGCCCCGTTCATTGGAGGTCCGTTGGGTGGATGGCTGTATCATATATTCGTTGGTGAGTTGTGAAAGCAGGCAAAACATCGTCTAAATGTATATTTTGTGCTCAAATCTGTAAGCGCACCTTTTCTGGCGTGCTGGAGCCTTCATTTTCCTCGCTTTCTCGCTAAATAGTAAGCACATCCTTTCTGGTGCCTAAATTCCTGATTTTGAGAAAATCGAGTGCACCAGAAAAGGTGGGTTTTAAAGTTTAGAGCACAAAGTACACAAAGAAGCAAAAGTCTAATGTGCAAGCTGAACCCTTAAACTAAACAAAGTCTCAATTCAAAGGTGTTCACATTCCGTACGACATCGACGATGAGGATCGACCAGAAACGGCCGCCGTTTAGCTTATTCAATTCTAATTTGTAAATAAATTCATTGCTCTTTTGATTTTCACAAAAAAAAAACCATTTAGAAAAAATTGATCTTTGAGGCGCTTTGAAAAAAATGGAAGCAAATTCCGCAGATAAGATAAATCATCCTTTGAATTGAAGAAGAATTTGTGGGTTTTTTTTTTCCGCAGTTCCGTTCAAAGGCATGGCAATTCGATTTTTGACCGAATTCTTGGGTTCAGTTTTATTAATTTTGGAAATTTTTAAATTCCTTATTCATATTTCTCAATTGTTCTTTTACAGCATTGAGACTGGATTCTAGAAAATCCTCAGCTTTGTCCTAAAGAGGGCTAATTTTGCTTGAAAAAAAGGAGCTAATTTTTCAAATTTCTCAAGGAATCATTGGACGTTTCGTAGAGATCATTGAACGATTATTTGCCACATTTTCCAAGCCAGACTGGTCCCTTATTCTGGGGTCAGATTCAAAGCACATTAGTAGTAGTGACCAGAAAAAGTAGTGGTTTTTGTGGCGCGAAAAATGCTGAATTTTGTGTTTCCACTTAAAAGTCTTCATTTCATTGCGCCTTTTCCGCTCCAAATCACAAAATATCTTTTTGCGCACTTTCTCGCAGGTAAGGTAAGGTTTATTGGTTAGCAGAAAAAAATGAAACATACACTTTAATCACGTAAAAAGTGAGTAACATTTGCCACGGGACAAGGAATAACAATCTGAACGAGCAACAATATTAGTACAGCGAGAGATAAAACAATCCAAGAAAACAAAATTTCAATCGCCTTCCTTGTCTTACTGAATTTTTGTGGTTCGTCCTTGTGCCCCGATTGAGTCGTGAATGTAGGGCTCCATCGCGGCCAGCGAATTCCAACGACCTTGGCGACGAAGAGCTTCGAGCGATTTGCCTTGGCGGCTTCCGTTGTCACTCCTGCCCTAAGTGAGTGTAACGTTTTTCCTCGAAGTCCCAGCATGACGCTCTTTAATGTGCTTGGCGGCGGGCCTGGGGTTGAGAGAAGTGTTCTTGACGTGACCCGGAAACATGTAGTCCTCTTTCCCCTTCTTAGTGGTCTTTCAGCGATTCCAGAGTTTTTCAACTTGATCTTCGTTTTCGAACGAGATGATTGTGTTTCGACCCTTGAGCAGTTGCGTTCCGATAATTCTATCACCACCAGCTTCCGTCAGTGCTTTCCCCTTCTCAGCAGCATCGACCATCGCAAAGGCCTTGGGGCGATGAGCAGAGCATTCCGATCGACGGGGAGTTTCTTTGTTTGGTCGTTTCTCGATCAGCTCCAAGAGTTTGTCGTTCAGCTCCACTTGGATGGCAAATGATCGTTTTGTGAGAGTCGGTGGCGGCTTTGCAACGGGCTTCAGTCTTGCCGACAGCTTCTCCAAAAGATGTGCTTCCAACACTTCGAGTTATGTTTTCTCCCCGTGACTCCCCGACATGCTCACCTAAACAAAAGAATTACAGCAGAATCCCGAAGACAACAACCTAAAAGAAAGAGAACAGACTAGTAAAATCTGCAAAACGATTAAACCAGAATGAAATTTTCCCTCCAAAACTCTCTTTAAATAGTCGAAAAGAGCGGGTTTTAGGAAACGACTACGCGACTGTACGCCGAAAATGCCGTCGTCGCGAATGAATTAAAGGTTAAAGGTTCCTTTCGCGAACCCATTCGCGATGGGGGCATTTTCGGCGTACAGTCGCGTAGTCGTTTGCTAAAACGCGCTCTTTTTAAGTATTTAAAGTTTTGGAGGGAAACTTCTGTGGAAAACCAACTTAAGACCGCACAATAGATATTCAAAGCTGTGCTAGTTTGAAGTTTGAAAGTTTTCAAAGTTTGAAGCCTCACTGATTTCCAGTTGATGTGTTTAGCTGTTTCGTTAGAAAAAACGGCTTAAGGAAACGGTTTTAGTCGTGGATCGATTCCTTGAATCTTTACCTCCAGACTTTATTGTTCATAAATTTCTTTACCCTGACTTTGAAATTTGAAATTGTTTCATTTTCTGTTCTCATCAACCTCAAAGATGTTCAAGAAAAAGTTTTGATTCAGTTTTGATTCAGTTTTGATCTCGATCGTCGGGAGAAGAGTCAACTTCACAGATCAAATTTTTCACAGCAGAAGAAGAAGAAGAAGAAGAAGAAAAAGAAAAATCTGATCGGATTTGTGAATAGAAGAAAAGAAATCAAGTGTCATCAAGGAAAATATCTAGAAAAGAGGAAAAGAAAAGAATAAAGTGGGAAAATAAATAGATTATTAAGAAAAGCTGCGATCACCGAACGTTTTTGGGTAAAGTCCAAAAAGTTCTGAAAATCTCAATCATTTGACTTGGAAAAAGCTATAAAATTTTCTGAATTCAATATATTTCTATTGTACTTTGAATTGTAAATTTGCTTCAGTTGTACCAATTTCATTCTATCACCAAGAGTATTCTATTCTATTCGGTTCAATTACCTAAGTTTATTTTAAAGAGTACGAAACCGGTTTAATTACCCAACTCTGCACTATTCAGAAAGAGTTTAAAACTTTATTCGAACTTTATTCGAACTTTATTTACTTTAGCACCTATTTGTGCTATATCTATTATTCTATATTCTGATTCAAAAATGAAATTGTATCCGGAAGATCGTTTCCGCGAAGCCATTCAAATCAAGAATCGCCTCATCGTCAATTTGTTGGCCGAATTCACCGGGATGTTCGTCTTTTTGGTGGGTTTAGCTTTAGGTTTAGATAGAGAAACTTCAGAAAAAGGTTCAATCTTTATATTATCACAAAAATCGTTATTGTTAGGACTACTGCAAGAAGTAAATGTGCTAGCAAAGAAAGGTTTTGGTTTGTCTTTTGGGTTAGTCCGTTGTCTGACCAAGCCTGGCTTGCCTTTGATTCACTGCAAGCCAGTGGCCAGGCCTTGTTTCTAGCCCATAAAGACCCGGTTAGAACAACTTCTTGCAAACTTCAATCTCTTCATTTCAGTTTATCGGCTTATGCATCTCGATGCAGTTCTTCTTGGGTGAAGGAGTGAGTTTTGATTGATTTGATTGATTGATTTGATTGATTGATTTGATTGATTGATTTGATTGATTGATTTGATTGATTGATTTGATTGATTGATTTGATTGATTGATTTGATTGATTGATTTGATTGATTGATTTGATTGATTGATTTGATTGATTGATTTGATTGATTCATTTGATTGATTCATTTGATTGATTAAATCTATATTTATTTCCAGTTGACCACCTTCATTCACATCAATCTCGGTTGGGGATTCGCGCTCACATTTTGCGCGCATTTTCTCGGTGGAACCTCAGGTGAGTTAGATGAATATAAAAGAGAAAAACTAGGAAATCAGAAATCAAAGTCTTCAAGAATCAAAGTCTTTTATGTAATTGTATCTAAATTACTAGGAATCGAGATATGGAAGAAAATAGAAGACTCCCCAAACCCTGATAGCATATACTAGTTTGGGGTATACTAGTACACCCTATACTTTAGATAATGAACTTTAACACGCATTTCTTCTATCGGTAAGTCTACAAAACAAATTCTACTTTTCTTTAGTCAAATTTGATGGAGATTTTAATAAAAGCAATCATGAGTTGATTGGGTTTCTATGCCTAAAGTTATGGAGCATTTAACTGGATCGACTCTTCCAAGTAGATAGTCTGACTTTGATACAGATTTTCTCTTATGTTTTTTACACTAAGGTGTATTAAATAACTTGTGGATTTCTACAACGAAATTTCATAAGGAACATTTTAAAACCAACCACAGAGATTCAGAGATTTCTCTGACCCCTTTTAGTCCTAAAGGCTTTAGTATATCTAAATATCTAAATGATTGAAGGTGGTCATCTGAACCCGGCAATCTCTCTTCTCTTGGCGACATTTGGTCGTATCCCGTTTCAACATGTTCCCCTTTACGCAATCGTTCACACAGCAGCTGGCTTTTGTGCCGCTTTCTCGTCATATTACTTTTATCTTGGTGAGTTCTAAAATTGAATTTAAAAAAAAAACCCACCATAATCCATCTATCTGTTTAGATCAATTCGATCACTTTTCCGGCTCATTAAGGCAAATCGATGGTCCAAATGGGACTGGATTGGCGTTTTGTTCTTTCCCACAGCCACACGTTACACATATCACAGCTTTTGTCGATCAGGTAAAGTTATTTAAATTGGTTACTGATTACTAACGAAATAAAGAAGTATTTAATCAATGAATCAATGAATTGTAGTGAGACTTTACGGTATAAAAACAGAAAAAAAAAAAACAGATTGTTGGCACGGCTTGTTTGACGTTTTTTGTCGCCATGTTGATGGATCGACGGAATAAAGTTTGAAGAAAAACCTTGAATAATATAGAATTTTTTTTTAGATTCCCGTTTATCTTCACCCACTCTATGTTGGCTTTGTGTTGTTCATGATTGGTAATAAAGATCTAAAGGAATTGAAAAGTAGATTTCCGGAGAGGGGATTAAAACCTCGACCTTTTGCTTTTGCTCTAAGCTATCCGGTATCTTAACTTGACAAGAGAAAGAAGAAAGAAAGAAAAGGATAAACCCGGGTTAGAAATCTGTCAGAAATCTTGAAAAGAATTCCATAGTAAGCCGTAGTTTGAAGTTAGCTAGTAAGTAAGAGTACCGTATTCTCTCTAATAGTGGTGCACCGCGACGAGTCGAGTTGGTCACTATTTTACGGTTTCCAAGTTCTTCACAGAAGCTCAACACTCTAATCCCCCACAAGATCCCATCGTCAGCTACATTTTCGGGCCCCGCATCGATAGGTTCTGATAAGCGGTTCTCGAGATTTCGAGGAATTTAGGCAACCCGTGATTAACCCGGCCAAGCCGAGTTAATCACGACTTTATGATTTCCAAGTTCTTCACAGAAGCTCAACACTCTAATCCCCCACAAGATCCCATCGTCAGCTACATTTTTCGACCGCACATCAATAGGTTCTGATAAGCGGTTTTTGAGATTTCGAGGAATTTAGGCAACGCTTAGGTTGCACTATTATTAGAGAAAATACGGTATTTTTTTTTGACTTTTTGAATGAATAAATATAGAAAATAAATTCATTTAAATAGTTAAAGCTATTAATTAAATGAATCTTTTTATTTCTAGGTTGTGGTTTTGCTTTAAATGTTGGCTATCCGATCAATCCGGCTAGAGATTTGGGGCCTCGTTTGTTCGCTTATTTACTCTATGGATCCGAGGTTTTCTCGTGAGTTTTCTTTTTTGTAAATTCTCGTTTTTCTATTATAAGATCGTCTCTAAGAGAAAAAAAAATACGGCAAAAAACGACAAAAATGTACTTTTAAGCTATCACAACTACTATTTCTGGATTCCGATTATTGCGCCGTTCATCGGATCACCATTCGGAGGATGGGTGTATCATTTGCTAATTGGTAATCGTTTTTTTTAAAAATCTAAATTCTAATCAAAAAGATAGTAATTCAGATAGTAATTCTTTACTTGGATTGGAAAAAAAGAACGAATAATCTAGCCGCGATTGAACTCTTGATCTCTAGACTAAGATCTTAGCCAGCTAAGGCTCTTAGCCAGCATGGGTATCTTTTATACAATTTCAAACATCGTTTCAGGTGCCCACATCCCAGACGATTACGATCACGACATAAACATTCCCGAAAAGTTGGAAAAACATTGATAATTTATATGTTGTAACCGATTATGAATGAGTGGGTCTAGGTCTAGGTCTAGGTCTAGACGCGTCCAACCATCAATTGTTTAGTATCATTCAACGCAGAAACATTGATAATTATGTTAAATTTTTTAAATTAGAAAGATTGGATAAAAAGAAAAAAATTACGGAACTTCAAAGTTTTCTCTCGAACAAACAGTTGTTTTGCTCTAATTTTTTTTCTTTTTGCTCAATCTTTCTAATTTAAAAAAATTTAACATAATTATCAATGTTTCTGCGTTGAATGATACCAAACACTTGATGGTTGGACGCATCTAGACCTAGACCCAGACCTAGATCTAGACCTAGACTAGACCCACGCATTCATAATCGGCTACAAGCTATGCATAGTATTCAACATTAAAACGATCCTATTAAGCAACTAATAGACAAAACGGTTATAGAAATGGCTTTACGGTTTAAATCCAATCTTGATAATACAATATCTCTTTTGTACATATTTTGGCACACTTATGCAAATTTTCTAATAGTATTCGCATTAAAAATTAATTCCCAAAACAATAGTTGCTGTTCTCTCCTTTTCGAACGATGACAGACCTTTGAAGGCATCTATCTCGGTGTTTTTTTGGTGTAAATTTGAAATGTTTAGAGTCATTTGATAGAAAAAAAATGATTATCTATTGAATAAACTTAAAGAAATTGCATTTAAAAGTAAACAGATTGAGATAGAGGACTTTAAAGACATTTCAAAGATATTAGAAGATCAAAGTTAGCATCAAATGGCGTTAAGAATCGATGAACGAGAATTGAAATTTGTGAAGATTTTATTTTATTGTTTGTGGCTTTGTGATTCATTTTTTGAAGCTGATTTGAAAAGGTTTTTATTTGAGAAACGGCTAAGAAGTTTATCAGATAAAAGTTAAAAAGAAGAAAAGAAGGAAAAGAAGAAAAGAAGAAAAGAATGAAAAGAATGAAAAGTTCTATTAGAAAACATTGAAATAAAAAGAGGGAAAGTTTTTAGTTAAAAAAGTTTTGAAGAAGTTCTTGATCAACTTGATACGGGACAGTCACCTCAAGCCCGGAGACGGTCTTTTGAGTTCTGAAAATGAAAAATAAAACTCCTTTAGGGTTCCTTTATAGTTCCTATTTAGTTCCTTTAAAGCTCCTCTAAAGCTCCTTTATAGTTCCTTTAAAGCTCCTTTATGGTTCCTTTATAGTTCCTATTTAGCTCCTTTAAAGCTCCTCTAAAGCTCCTTTATAGTTCCTATTTAGTTCCTTTAAAGCTAAAATAAAACTAACAAATTTAGATTTAGACTTATTTAGGTAAAAATTTGAAATGTAACAATGGTGATTGTCAGCTTTTTCAATACTTGCTTTGCTTTGCTTTCAATTGCTTAAAGCAAGCAAGCTTAACTTTGACATCAATAAAGCCTCTTTTTCTTGAGAAAAGCATCTTTCTTTTTAAATCTAAACACTTAAACAGTTAACAATATTTTTTGTTTCACCTGATAATGGCTTCTTTTGCTTTATCATTCCCTGACCAACTCCTCCTTGCCACTCCATTTGATACATCCCATGAGAGCATCGAACGAGCACGACGATCCGTTTCCTGAAATGCTTCAATTTGTATACTTTTGCATTAAAAAAAATAATTTATACACACAAATAATGTCGTACAAACAATACAAAAGCAATAACCTTTAAACCCTAAATGTAGGGAAGAAAAAAGATGGAAAAAAAACCAATAATCTAGCCAATATGGAACCCTTGACCTCTCAACTAAGATACAGAGCTCTTAGTCTGTCGGCTATGACAGGCGCTCACTGGTAATCACTGGTAAACGATCAAGTAAATGTGTTTGGAAAGTTTATAAGTAGTAATAGGGTTAAAGTAGTCTAGCAGAATTTTAACACAAAAGTTTACCAGTTTAGAGTATTAAAATGAATTAAAGTAGTGGATACTATAGTTGTTCTATAAAAGTTTTTTTTACCAGATCTCCATCTAGCACCATTCCGAATCCACCATTTATCACATCGCCCCATCCGACACCGCCTCCATTGTGCAGAGAGATCCACGTGGCTCCTCTAAAACTTTTTGAGTCAATAAAGTAACCTAAGAAAGCAGATCGTTTATTGAAAATTAAATCTAAATCTCAAATTCTCAATTCCCTTACCTCATCGCGTCCCCAATCGCATTTTGCACGGCCATATCAGCAGTGAAAGCGCTTCCATCAGTGATGTTTGCGGTTTCTCTAAATTTCAATTCAATTTAAAAAGAAAATCTAATATCTACATCTTAATCTACATCTATCTACATCTAAATCTAAATCTACATCTATCTACATCTAAATCTACATCTAAATCTACATCTAAATCTACAACTAAATCTACATCTATCTACATCATTTTGCATAGTATTTTACGATATTTTGCAATACAAACCTGAACGGAGAATCGGTACCCGATACATCATGGTGATCTCTCGAAATCACGATTGGGGCCTAAATTTTAAAACTTTAATATATTTGCATATATCTTTTTAAGGTATACTTTAATGTATATAGAATCCTTCTGAATTTAGTAGTGAATTAAGCATCCTAACAAAACTCGAAAGCATTAGACGTAGTTTTAAAAAAAACCGCGTCAGGTAGAAAGCTTATAAAATTTGTAAGCACAAAGTATTGATCCATATGAAATTTCTAGACATCTTCCAACTTCTAGGCACTTAAAAGATAAAGAACTTGCCGTAATTCTCTTGTTTCTGACAGCTTCATTGAAAGCGAGAGCGATCGCGGTACGGCCGGCTTGATCCGAGTACAAGATGCGAGCCTGAAATGAGAAAATGACAAGAAATCGAAGTATGAGGCTAAAATTCACACTAGACTTTACTAGATTCACCAAAATCCACTAGTTTCACGACAAAATTGTTAATTCTAGCATATTCTGAATAGGATTGGTCAATTTTAAGTCCAATCCTGCTATCCAACTCATCAGTTGTAATTCACCTGTGTTCCCACCACCAATTTGTGCTCATCCGCTTCGACAATCCATTTCCGATTGTCAACATACTGTTGCTTTACCCATTCAGGCACTAAAATTCATTTGTAGAATTTTTCGCTACCCAAACTATCTTGTTATAACCAATGATCTAAACACAACCTTTCTAACGCACTCAACTCTTTCCTGAAAGTGTTTCAATGCACTAGAAAAGATGCATTTTCATTGTAAAGCATAAAGTAAATCAAAGTTATTCACTCACTGTCTTCTTTCAGCAATTTGTTGATCACTTGACAAGCGATTTTATCAGATTCTCTAAATAAAGTATATTTTAATTTTTAAAATACTCAACTTTAAATCCTCAGGAGTTCCCGATGTGCAAACCCATCGGAATGGACCGAAAACCCATCGAGAAAATGTCACTAAAGGAGGTGTTTAAATAAAATTATAAAATGAAATATAATAATCAAAAATTAATATTCTTTTTTACCCCATAATATCCTGAAAATAGCTTGGATAGCGAAAATCTTTGTCATCTTTCGCATTTTCTTTCAACATCTCGACTCCGGCTCTCTGAAATGAAAAAATTAGAGGAAATTGAGATATTTTATTTACATTAAATCTTCCTTACCTGACATTCGACAAGAAACGCGTTCCCGTAGTCCCAAAAGTACATTCCCCGTTTGGCCAGCTTATCAATGGCCGCGATTTGACGGCGGAGACTGCAAAAAGGATTTAAACGCCTGTATTTAAAGATATTCAGTTAACTAACTGAGTATCACTATTTACGTCTGTATTTAGTGATACTCAGTTAGTTAACTGAATATCTTTAAATACTCAATTGCTTAAATAAATACCTTTAGAGACTAGTTTTGAACACTAATTTTGGGAGTGGGACAAATGCGACCTTTTTTTGCGCACCCGGACATTTGCGCACCTTTTTTTCCGCACTTAGCCCATTAGCGCACCTTTTTTTCGCGTTTTAAAAAAGCTCTAAAAGCTAATATTAACCAATTTCTATTCCAAAAGTTGTTTTTCTAGGTAATTTGAGGGTGTCGAATCGAAATTTTGGCATATCAGAGCTTGTGGAAAAAAACGGACGGAGTTATACACAAAGAGAAAGATCAACAATTTTCTGTAATTTGAAATGTCTTTCATTTCAAATTGGTTCCACACGCTCTGTTATGTCAAAATTTGAATTCGACACCCTCAAATTACCTAGAAAAACAACTTTTGGAATAGAAATTGGTTAATATTAGCTTTTAGAGCTTTTTTAAAACGCGAAAAAAGGTGCGCTAATGGGCTAAGTGCGGAAAAAAAGGTAGCATTTGTCCCACTCCCCTAATTTTATCTGAAATATAAACTTTTTTTTTAAAAACTGTTTCACCCATCATGTAGCCAAGAAAGTAAGGTATGTTTTTTTATATAAAACTTGAGTTAGTTTGATATTTGGATTGTAAGAAATTTGACTTGAACTTTTTGAAGGTTTTCTATTCACCGTGTTTTAACTACATCCCATATTTTCTTCATTTTCATTTGTTATTTGTTAGTAAATAAAAGTATTAAAGTTGCCGGATGTAGTTTTGCTGTTAGTTTTTAAAATTACCACAAAAGTATTGTTTTATAAAAGCCATCAAGGAAGGTTTATAAGAAAGGTTTACCTCTCTCTGACCAGCTCCTTAAATTCATTTGGTTTTTTGGTCATCATTTGATTGGCTTCATCAAAAGTGATCCCAACTGGGTAATATCTGAAAGATGAAAGATCTGAATTGTTTTCAAGATTCCCAAACAAACAAACCCTCCAAGAAAAGGATTGTGACAAGATGTTTGATCCGAGCCAAGTTCCACGAGATTTTCCTCTTCCAAAGCTAACTTTTCCCTGGAATAATGGCTTGAATCTGCTTTGCTTTGCTTTGCTAAACTGCTTTGCTAAAGTTGCTAAATTTTAAGATGCTTTTGACTTTGAAAAGTGATGTTGGTGAATTAAGAAGGCAAATTTTGTTCAAAACCAAATCCAGCAACAAAAATCAAGCTTAAAAATTGTAACTAATGTCAAAAATTGAATCACTGTATTGATGCCTTACCATAAATCGACAACATTCCCGAGATATCCGATTGAAATCGCTTTTCTCTCGCTTCTCGCCTCTTTAATTAAGCCAACGATTTCATCAAGATTCGTGCTGTAGATCTAAAATTTTAAAGTTTCAAGATAAAAGTCGATAAAAGTCGATCTAAGTCTCCAATTCTACCTCAAGCCACCCTTGGTCGTGTCGCTTCTTCAGCGCTTTTTCGCTAATCTAAAAATCGATTCATTTTAGATAAGCCTGAAATGTTTCTTAATCGATAAATTTATTGATTTTAGGGACTTTTTTTGATTTGATTGATTGATTGATTTGATTTGATTTGATTTGATTCATCATAATCTAGATCCTTTCTTTCCCCGACCTCAGCAATCACTCCAACACATCCAGCAATTTTCGCCGCTTTCGCTTGCGCGCCCGACATTCCGCCAAGGCCGGCCGTCACAAAAACTTTTCTGAAACGATTAGAAAACTATTTTTAATGATGTTGGTGAAGAAGAAGATTTTGGTCAAGAAGGGAATTTTTTTTCAAAACCAAACCCAGCAACAAAAATCAAAGTTAAATTGTAAACAATGTCAAAAAATGAATCACTTACCCAGCTAAATCATCAGTATTAAGGTATTTGCGGCCAGCGTTCATCACTGTAATCTAAAATTGAGTTTGTTTCAGCAATTTCAGCAAATTTTCAACCTTTCTAGTCTAATACTAATAGTTTTCTTTATATCTTTCTAAAATAAATCTCATTCTTTTTACTTACCGTTGTCCCGTGAACGATCCCTTGTGGCCCAATGTAGCAATAACTTCCAGCAGTCATTTGCCCATACATTGTCACACCCAATGCGAAATATTTATCATACAATGGCTTTGTTGAATAGTTTGGAATCATCTAGAAGTTGATGAGCTTTAGTTTTTAAATAAATGTTTTAAATAAATTTCAAAACAAACCATTCCATTGGTAATCGTTAATCGTGGAGCATCTTTATGTGAAGGGAAAAGACCAAGTGGATGACCTAGAGGGTTTTAAATAGAATTCTTTGCTCAAAGCTTCAAATCGAATATTCTTTGCTCAAAGCTTCAAATCGAATTCTTTGCTTAAAGCTTCAAATCGAACTCTTTGCTGAGTTACACTAAGATCACAGTAGAATATAGCTACAAAGCTACAAAGCTATAAATAAGAAAATGATTTGTTTCGACAGTTCCAAATATCAAAATGATCAAAATTTGTTTAGAAAATTGATTTAAACAACCTGAATACATAACCAATGTCTGCTCATCGCTCATTGACCATAAATAACGGATGACCAAACGAAACTGAAATAACAAAAATGCTATTAAATAAATATTAAATAAAATTCCAAAGCAAAAGACCCAAGAAAAATCAATTTATTTAACTAAATTGAATACGGTTTCTTTGAAATGAAAAGATCTTTTTATTGACCTGAATCCAATTGGAGAACACTTGCCCATTTCCACCATAAGTCACTAATTCTTGGGGAAACTGAAGAATGAGATAAAGCATTCAAATAATATTAACTATTCAATATATCTACAGGGTGCGTCGTAATTATTGCAACAAGAGTTCAAAGACCGTTTTCCAAACAGGAAAACGGGCGTGTCATGGGCGTGTAAAAGCCAAGAACAATCAAAATTGGACCTTCATGCAAGATGGAGCTCCCGCTCACACGAAGAAGACGCTTCAGGACTGGTGTGTGGCAAACTTTCCCTCAGTGATCACCAAGGATGAATGGCCTCCAAACTCACCGGATCTCAATGTGATGGACTTTTCCATTTGGGCAATCTTAGAGGCTAATGTCTGCTCTTTGACCTTGAAGAAGTCTTTGACCAAAGGATGGAAGGCGACTCCTCAAGATGACATTCGGGCCGCAGTGGAGGCATATTCCGAACCGATTAAAGGCTGTTATCAAGGCAAAAGGCGGTCATATCGAATGATCTCTTGTTTCCTTATTTGTTACTGTTAAATAAAGCTATTTCTGTCCTTCCAGTGAAACTTCTTGGTGTGCAATGCCTTGAGTATCTTGTTGCAATAATTATGACGCACCCTGTACATTAATTGTTATCTAATTAATTACATTAATTCTTGTTTAATTAACTACATTAATTCTTGTTTATTAACTACATTAATTGTTCAACTTGTAAAAGTAGAAAAGTTTTTTTTTTTGATTTCTTTATTGTACCTGTGCCACTTCAGGATCCAAATTGTTCATGATCATCAAAATGATTGCGGCCGCTTGTTGGCATTTTGCTTTGATTTCATGGATTGGTGGAGCCTGTAAATAGGAATTAAATGGAAAAATCTATCATTAAACTTTTAACGGGAAATCGGGCATAAAACGAAAAGCATAGATGTGGCCATAAGTCTCCAATTCTTCTGCGAATTCCTGAAATGATTTTTTGGTTTCAAATAGTTCAAAGCACGTTTATTGAAATATCGATTGCATAAAATAATTACAGCAATATGGCAATGTAAAAGCTAAATTATTTTTGGAAAAGATTGTGATTGATTGATTGATTACCTTTGCCTTTTATCTTTGCCTTTGCCTTTGCCTTTGCCTTTGCCTTTTACCTTTGCCTTTTACCTTTGCCTTTTACCTTTGCCTTTTACCTTTGCCTTTGCCTTTGCCTTTGCCTTTGCCTTTGCCTTACCTTTGCCTTTGCCTTACCTTTGCCTTTGCCTTTGCCTTTGCCTTTTACCTTTGCCTTTGCCTTTGCCTTTGCCTTACCTTTGCCAACAAATTGTGGTATTTTTCGGGCACATAACGCAACGCATTCGCAACAGATAACTAAAATGTTTGCTTTAGCATATTCAAAACGATACGACGTACTAATGACGACTATTTTTGGGTGTCAACTCGTTTTTAACGACTTTTCTTACCGTATTCTCTCTTAATAGTAGTGCACTCTCTCTTAATAGTAGTGCGACGTACTAATGACGACTATTTTTGGGTGCCTCGCTTAAATTCCTCGAAATCTCGAGAACCGCTTATCAGAACCTATTGATGTGCGGTCGGAAAATGTAGCTGACGATGAGATCTAGTGGGGGATTTGAGTGTTGAGCTTCTGTGAAGAACTTGGAAATCATAAAATCGTGATTAACTCAGCTTGGCCGGGTTAATCACGCACTACTATTAGAGAGAATAGGTATTCATTTCACAGATAGTTATTTACAAGTGTACAAAGATAGTTATCTCGCAGATAGTTCTCGATAACTTTATAACTTTATACTAGTTTCCAAGAGAAGATTCAGGGCTATCAAATGACTATAATAGTTTCATTTATGTTTAAATTTACATAAAATTTACATAAAATTAAAATAAAATTCAGTAAAACGCTCAAATTGCTGGGCGAATGTGTGTAAAATGAATTAAATTTAATTTTCTGTGATTCTCTGTGAACTTTTTTCTCGTTTGCATTCAATTGGAGTGGTCTTCTTGGAGCATGGGAGATATTGGAGAGGTTTCTCCATTTCGATGGATAATCGGGAAGTCCCTCGAAAGGATCACTCAATAAACCCTCGATACCACACGGCATTCTGAACTAATTCAAATCATAATCATCTAAAAATGAAACTTAAATAAAAACTTTGTAAAAGTTTCAAGATTTCGTGAAGAACGATTTGTTTAAAGGATTATTTTTATCTTTTACCGATTGTTTTTGCTTGAAAATGACTCGAATCTTTCATAAAATCAGATCTAAATTGTTCAAAAGTATGCGAAAATTGTGTTTTGTGTCATCAATTGTGTCATTAATCGTCATTAATCATCATTAATGACATCACTTAACTTTAACTTTATCATTAAAAATCGTAAACACAATTTTTGGCTTATTTTTGAACAATTTAGATCTGATTTTACAGTCATTGAGATTCAATGGGGAATTCAATTGAATAATTTGTGAGATTGAACGTTCAACAACTTGTCTGTTGTTGCAAGAAGAAGAACAAGAACTAGGACTAGGACTAGAACGAGAACTAGAACTAGAACTAGAACTAGGACAAGAACAAGAACAAGAACAAGAACAAGAACAAGAAGAAGAACAAGAACAAGAACAAGAAGAACAAGAACAAGAACAAGAAGAACAAGAAGAAGAACAAGAAGAAGAACAAGAAGAAGAAGAACAAGAAGAAGAACAAGAACAAGAACAAGAAGAAGAAGAACAAGAAGAAGAACAAGAACAAGAACTAGAACTAGGACTAGGACAAGAACAAGACCAAGAACAAGAACAAGAAGAACAAGAAGAAGAACAAGAAGAAGAAGAACAAGAAGAAGAACAAGAACAAGAACAAGAAGAAGAAGAACAAGAAGAAGAACAAGAACAAGAACTAGAACTAGGACTAGGACAAGAACAAGACCAAGAACAAGAACAAGAAGAACAAGAAGAAGAACAAGAAGAAGAAGAACAAGAAGAAGAACAAGAACAAGAACTAGAACTAGGACTAGGACAAGAACAAGACCAAGAACAAGAACAAGAAGAACAAGAAGAAGAAGAACAAGAAGAAGAAGAACAAGAACAAGAAGAAGAAGAAGAAGAACAACAACAACAACACCAACTGTTCAACAACAACAATATTTCTAAGTTTCAAAGTTGTCAAATGTTCAATGTTCATTTAATCGAAGAGTTAAACGAAAAATATTCGAAACTTGAAATGTAAAATGTGATGGGGGAGATGGAGGGGATCGAGATTTTTATGGTCTCCTCCATTTCTCTGTTTCATTTTCAGCAAAGAATAGCCTTGATTTCTCCCATTTATCGTCCGTAAACGAATAAAATCTTTCGAGAAAAGAGAAATTCACATTTTCTTCAATGTTTTTGCTTTGGTTTTATCTGAAAATTTGTGAATGAGTTTAGAGGTTTGGAATTTGAATGAATTTGAATGAATTTTGTAGAATTTTAACATTTCTTCTTGCAGTAATGTGTATTTTCTTGCGTTTCTTTTTGAAAAGTTTACTTTTTTATTCGACTGGCAGTTAAGAAAATACAGTGAAAACGAAATAATTTAATAAAACGAATCGCTCGAGACCGAAAACTTTGATATAACTTTGAACGTGTTTTTAACTTCAATTTTTCAAAATTTCAAACGATATAACTTCAAATTTTCTACGTAACTGCGCTGGCCGGCTACTGATTGCATTTGGCTGGGGCAGCTACGCACAAATTTTGGATACTTTATAGGATTTCAAATTCTTTGTATCGAAGTTCGATTGGATCTCAAAATTGTGCAAAAAAAAGGAATTACGATAGATTTAGTGGAAAATAGAAAAGATTAAATTAGATTACAAAGAAAAGGAAAAAGAATCTAGATAAATGTAGTTAAGTTAATCTAGTTAAATTAATCTAGTTAAGTTAAGCTAGTTAAGCTAAGCTAGTTAAGTTAATCTAGTTAAGCTAATCTAGTTAAGCTAATCTAGTTAAATGTTTATCAAAGGAAATTTGTTGTAAATGTAAATAAAATTGATCTACAGATCAATTTTTTCTAAAATGATTCATCTAAATTTTTGTGATCCAAAACCGGAAACTGTCGAAATTGGGCGGTGATTTGGGAGATGATCGACAAGAAATCTCCGTTGAAATTCTCGGTCACAAAAACCGTGTCAAAACCCTGGAATTTGATGGTTTAATAGTGATAGATCTAGTGATAGATCTAGTGATAGATCTAGTGATAGATCTAGTGATAGATCTAGTGATAGATCTAGTGATAGATCTAGTGATAGATCTAGTGATAGATCTAGTGATAGATCTGGTGATAGATCTAGTGATAGATCTGGTGATAGATAATGGTGATAGATAATGGTGATA